TTAGGTTCAGAAGCCTTTCTAGAATCTGAGAAGTAGGACTAGGAACAGAAAGAAGACACATCAGTTTATCAGGCAGTTTTATGATGGAATTCTGCATATAAGATACCAGTTCCAGCTGCCTTTTTCCCTCCCAGAGAAAGACTATGGGCTGGATTTTTTAAGTACATTTATGATTAGAAAAAAACCCCATGTTTATCTGGTTTCAGGTATTTTTTCTCCTTCAAACAAAAGAGTTTTAGAAAAGCTTATGTAGCTTTCTGTTTTGGGTGGGCAAGGCAGGGTTTTGGTAGCAGTGGAGTGGCTGCAGGGATGGCTCCTGTGAGAAGTTGCTCCAAAATCAGGACCTGCCTCTGGCCAAGGCTGACCCCATCAGCTGTGGTGGATGTGCCTCTGAGATTAACATATTAAAGAGGGGGAAACTAAACAGCTACTGGACCTCAGGACAGAGGAGAGGGGGAGGTGAGAGTGGTGCTGGAAAAGTCCATGGTCAGAGGGTAGACTGTCACCCTACAGCCCATGGAGAAGCATGGTGAAGCAGCCCCTGAAGGACCACAGTGAAGCAGATGTAGACCTGCAGCTGTGGAGGACCCCACACCAGAGGAGGTGACTGTTCCTGAAACAAGCCATGACTCTGTGGGAAGCCCGTGCTGGAGCAGCCTGTTTTGGAGGGATTGCACCTTGTGGGAGGGACTTATGTCAGAGGAGTTAATAAAAGACTCTATCTGTGGAGGGACCCCACAATGGACCAGGCAAGACTGTGTGGAGTCTGAGATTGGATATTAGGAAATGTTTATTTACTGAAAGAGTGGTCAAGTGTTGGAACAGTCTACTTAGGGAAGTGTTGGAGTCACTATCCGCTGAGGTGTTCAGAAAACATGTAGACACGGAACTTTGGGACATGGTTTAGTGGGCATGGTGGTATTTCATTGACAGTTGGACTTGGAGCTCTTTTCTAGCCTCAATAATTCTATGAGTCCTCAGAAAGCAATATGTGATGGAACCAACAGCAAAACCCATTCGCTGTCTCCCTATGTGGCTGGAGGGGAGGAGGTAGAGAAATTGTGAACAAAGTAATTTGGGTCTGGGAAGACTGGAGCTTTAACCCACAAGCTGCTAGTTGGAGTTTCTCCCCACAGTGTGGGGAGAGTGAGTAAGTGGATGCGTGGTTTTTTGCTGCCATCTGGGCCTAAACCACGACACTTTCCTTAGTTCTACTGCAGATCTGTGAGAGTAAATTATTGTCTGTTATTTACGTGGAATAGTAGTTATTTACACTTACATTTTCCTGTTCCTTTCTAAAGCTCAACATGAACAGATGAGGGGAAGAAAAGCACATCTTCCTATGGCAGCTATCTGTTTTTAACAATTTGAATTGCAGCACTAACCCATTCATTTCCAGTTTCTCCATTTTCTTCAGATCAATCTGTCTATATGAACTATTACAACTTCCATATATGTGCTTGGTGGGATGTTCTTAAGTCACTAGGCTGGCAAGTAGGAATAGGCTCTGTGACAAACACACTTAATAAACTGAAGTAATGGTTTAAGGTGTTATTCTTCCTCTGCCTGAGAGTATTTTCTTTGTACCAGAGTCAGTGGAAAAGGATGTTCAGTTTGCCTGGTGAAATCTAATGACTTAGTTTCAAACATTGGGTGAGGTTGGGTAGCATGGGGACATTGAGGTGGATTTAGGCTTCACTTTGCACTGGATTTGACTTTGCATTGAAGAAAGTGAGTGAAATAGACATGCATGGAATTTTTAATATTTTTTTTAAATCCACAACTATTGAAGAATCAGTGGTCTTCAGCAAAAAGGCAGTATGGTCATTTGTAGGGAAGCAATGTCTTAAGCCATGGAAGTGTGATTTGCCAGAATCAACATGCACAAACTGTAGTGTCTGAGTTGCAGGCATGCTTGGTGGTAAGAAATTCTCAGCTCCAGAAATGCTTTAGATTCTCATGTATTCAGAACATGGAAGGCTGCACTGAGTTATTGGGCAGTGCAGCAATTTTTTAAACTTAAAGCTGAATTAGTAATTTGCTGCTTCAGTTAAGATCCACACTATCAACCTTTGCTGGCTTAGCTATGCCAGTCAGATTGCAATGAGATGTGATCTCTGATTTAGAATAACTGCACTGGCAAAAGCCCCTGGAAAACACAGCAGTGAATTGCAAAACTGTACTCCTGCCTAGTATTTTGACTTTCAGAATAGGAAAGTTGCTGCAGGAGGAAAGACCAAAATAAACTCTGTAAGCAGAAGACATTTTTTTTGCTGCTGTTAGCTCTGTCCGCATTAAGCCCTTCCCATCTTTGCTTCCTGGTGGACTAACTTCCTCCTCCTTATTGTGTATCTGGTATGATTCAGGTGAAATAGTGACAGATCAAAAGGAAAATGTTTGCTTGACTGGTAGAAGGTGAGAACTGCTATTGTTTCTGTTCTTATCTTAGGCAGCAACCAACTTGGCTCTATTTATGGCCACACATCTGTGATGACAGGCAGCCTCTTGGATGATCACCACTGGCACTCCATCATCATAGAGCGCCATGGGAGAAACATCAATCTCACCCTGGACAGACACATGCAGCACTTCAGAACCAATGGAGAATTTGATTACCTGGACCTGGATTATGAGGTAGACAATGAAACTTCTTTGTTTTTGTTCAAATTGGTTTTGTAAAGATAAGTCTAATAAGAAGAAAAAAGAAAACTAATATAATTTAAGATGTTTGGCACTTTTTTGTACATGTTTTGAGTATTTTTTCCCCTTAGGTTTCCTGAATATTTTTTTCCAACAATATTCTCTTTCAAGTGTATATTAAGGAAAAAAAATAAATCACACCATTTATTATTCCTTTCAAGTGATAATTATGCACTTGAATAAAAAAACAGTCTGTGGTGACACTTAGACATTTTACTAAATATGGATCTTGATCATTCTTAGGTAGTTTTTCATAGATTGGCACTTGTATTTTCTCAGGTAAGCCATCAATAAATTGTTTTTATAAAGAAACAATAAAGAATTAGGAAAGTTCTAAGAAAACTTTGCTTTAACCAGCAGGTTAAGGCACACAAATGTTTACAGTAATTAAATGTCGGTTTGTCATTTGATTACACTCTGGCTTCTGCCATTATGAACTTGTTAATTTCCTCTAAATTGCATTATGAACTTCAGCATGTTTGTTGTTAAAAATTTGTTTAATAATTTTCTTACTCCCTTTACTGTTTCTAATGAGAATGAATGTGGTTGGCTGAGCCAAATACATGTATTTCCATCCTTGCAACATTTTAAGTAATGAGAGGGAATAAAAAATATGTAATGCAGAAAAGTTAAAATTGTGTATTGAAGTTTTTGCAAACTATTTTTTGATCAAGAATATGATATGAATGTTTGAAAAAAATTACGTATGTAAATGTTACTGAATGTTACTGAGAGACAGCCAGTGTCCACTTCCCATGTAAATTCAAGCTTTGTTAACACCCAGGGCTCACTTTGCATGGAGATGACCAGTTGAAGTTGTACAGGCTTTGATCCTGGCCTTTATTTCAGGATCTCTGGCTGTGGAACATTTGCTTCTTCACAAGTCATGCACAGTCTGGCTGTGGAGCCGTTAGGGACATGGGTTTGACAAGTACCAATCCCTGCCAGCCAGTGAAGCAGGCCTGCCCCCCCTACCAAACAAAAGTTAGCGAACTTGTCAGGTCCAAGCCCGAATGCTCAACCAAGCACTGCTGCTCTCGCACTCCTCTGCACAGGTTCTTCCAAGAAAGTTAAAGCAAAATGCAAAATCTGTTTTCCCACACTTCTCTAGAGTCAGGTCATGTCAATTTATAATCCCTGAGAATATGTCCTGCAAAATGCTGGGTCATAGCTGGTCATGTGCTATTTATAAATTATTTTTTTTTTCAGATGTATAGCTTTAGTTCTTATATGCCAAATTAAAGGTTTTATTTGGGGATAAAAGGGATATCTTACATGCTTTTAGAATGGAAAATATTTCTCTAGAACTGTGTTTTCCTAGTCTTGTTAATAACAGATGGAAATAACAATTAACTATACTTGAAAGTTTGGCTCTGCCGAATGTCACTAGCAGACTACAAGCAGACATTTTTGTGAGCATTCACGGGACAGGAAAGCTAGGTGCTATTACTATTTATGACATCATCTATTGGATATAAATACTTAACATAGATTGCAGCGACTAATCTCATAAGTCCCTTATTCTTCACATTTGGGCTGCAAAATATTAATGAAAGTTTGTAGCATTTATTCACTTTCAAACATTTCAGAAAAGATCTTGAGCAGTAGAGACCTTCATAGTTTCTGCGGAGTAACAGAGGGAGACTTCATAAAAGACGAACATTTTTAGTTTGTAAATTTCCCATTTTGACCCAGTGTTTTAAAGTAATGCCATACAGCCTTAAGAGAAAAACAATTCCTGTTTAATCTTGATGACTGCATCTTTGTGGTGGTTGTCTTCATCATCTCAGTAATGGAAGGTGCTTCTGTGTAACAGGGAATAACATCTTAAACTGTGTGATTCTATAAAATTCTTCTGGATAGAGTAGATATATAAGTATATATCATATCCTTGATAGGACAAGGGGTAATGGATGCAAACTGGAGCATAGGAGGTTCCATGTGAGTATCAGGAAGAAGTATTTTCCTGTGAGAGTGACAGAGCACTGGAACAGGCTGCCCAGAGAGGTTGTAGAGTCTCCTTCACTGGAGACATTCAAAACCTGCCTGGACACGTTCCTGTGTGATGTGCTCTGGGTGACCCTGCTCTGGCAGGGGGGTTGGACTAGATGATCTTTCAAGGTCCCTTCCAACCTAGGATTTTGTGAAACAAATGTGTCATATTGGAGCCCACAGCTGTTGTGTTGTAGTCTGAGCTCTTGCGCACAGGTAAAGCTGAGTGAATTCTTCAAATCATATTATCTGGCAAATTTGATATCTGCTCTTCTTTAGAAAAATACTAGGATGGACATTTATTCCCAGTTCTTTGCTTGAAATTCATATTTTTCAGTAGCAATCAGAAGAGCAGTCCATATGTGAACACCTGAGATGCATGTCTGCTTACTATTTTGTAGTAATACTTGAGGTTTAATACCATAAATATTTGCAATCACAAACTGATAACAGGTGCTTTTTTTCTGCTTTTGAAGTGCTTCCTTTTTCTGTAAGCAATATTGCCAGCTCTCTCATTAATGTTTTAGTGTTCTAAGAAAATAAATACATATACAGTGAATTTGTTTGAAAGTCTTTGCTCTCCCACAATTATCTGCCGTTTTCTGTTTCATTCAAAGATAACCTTTGGAGGCATGCCTTTTTCTGGGAAGCCAAGTTCTAACAGTAGGAAAAATTTCAAAGGCTGCATGGAGAGTATCAACTACAATGGCAATAATATCACTGACCTTGCCAAGAGGAAGAAATTGGAACCTTCTAATGTGGTAAGAGCATAATTTAATGGTCATCTACATTTCTCCTTCTCTTAAAGGAGGTTAGAAGGTTTGTCAATGTGTGTAGTTAGTATGCTTGTGCTATCCTAGAATGATAGAGGACATAAACCAAATTTGATCACCTACTGAAACATCTTACTGTGTGTACCTTTGTGACCTCTTTTTATTGTTATATCTGAACATTTTACTTCCCTTTTCATCTTTCCAAAATTAACCTTCAGTATCAGTCAACTACTTTTTAAAAGAAATTCAGCTGAACCAGTAAGTACTTCTTTCCTTTCTTCCTAAATTATAGTAGTCTAAAATCAGTGTAGACAAGATTTATTATTAAATCAATTTCAGCTTTCTTGTGGCTTTAAATCATGGTATCTTCCTTGCCTGCAGAGCCAGTTGGATTGCTGATTAAGAAAGAATGTACTTTAATTACTGTGTTTTTAAGGCACTAAATGTTCCAAAAATTGCTCGATTACATACAAAGGCAATGTGGGTAGGAAATAAATGTATTATTCCCACAAGTTTAAGATGGTCTGAATAAGTAATTCAAGGCTTTCTTCTGTATAAGCCTGACAGCATTCATAAAGTCCTGCTAACAACACACATGCTTCCATTATTGCTTTTCTCTTTATGCAATAAATATTAAAGATCTACATATGTAGGGATGATGAAGTTCAGAGGATTGATTGCCATTTGATTACTCCTTGGATAGTAATACTGAAGTTCCATGTAATGGTATGAACAATATGGCTAAATGGTCAAGGTGATATAAAGGATAATTTTGAACACGTTATGTTTGCCTATACAAGCTTAGTAACACAGCCTGATATTTAAAACCTTTTCTGTATATTGATTTCTTAAGTATTGCCAAAGGCAAAGAACATGATATATATGGAGGAAGACTCCACTTATAGAATTTCTTTGACCCAGTCACATGAACTCCGGAGTCTTTGACTTTTTTTTTCCAACATTGCCTATGATTTCCTGCCTGCAGTACATTTTAAGCTTGCAATGTAACCATGATTTTCAAAGTCTGATGTTTGATTTAGAAAAGGATCTTTGTAGAGGAGCAATCCTTCCATGTTGCACAGTCAAGTCTACTGCAATGTTGTAGGACATACTCTTAAAGCCTCTTTCTGAACAGAGGTGTTACTTTAAAAGTTTCTGTAGTACAACTTTTCAAAATGTGGCATAGCTAGCAAGCCTGTACAAGGTCTCTGTAAAACCATCTCTATATTTTTTGTTTGCTTTATTAATTTTTGTTTGTTTTTAAAATTCTCTTACCTGTAACATGAAAATAAAATCCACATAAGAAGCTTTGGCAATGTCGGTATTCCAGTTCATTTGATGGTTCTGTTTATTTCCAATTCTGAGAATGGCTATAAAAATAGAAGTGACCTTTGTTTTCAGTAGAATTACTTAAATTGCGTCAGCTCTTCAAAAGCAAAATAAATTTTGCTTTAACGAAATGAACATGGATTTTTATGATTCTTACAAAGTTTTCATTTTCTCCTAGTTTTTGGCCTAATTCAGCCCGAAAACTAGAATTGGTTGAGACTGTTGTTGTTACCATGCTTGTGATGATGTCATTCAACCAGGATCAAAGGTCCATTGTAGGAAATCTCACAGAAACATGGAAGAGTAGGGCCACCTTGCTCTTATGTTTTTAGTGTTTGAAGAGTCAAGACAGACAAAATGTAATGAATTGGAGCACAGGTGGAACACAAGTAATCAGTATGGTGATGAGAAGTATCATAAGGGGGGGGAGGAACAGGAAAGAGGGATATTAAAGAGGTGTGAGACAGAAGAAAAAATATTCTTAGGCAGGTAGTTGAATTTCAGAAGTCACACATTGAAAGGCAGTTGACAAGTTAATTTTGGAGAATTAGGAAGCCCAGAGAGAGAAAGATGATAATATGATGATAGTCTTGATTTGTCTCTGAAAAAAATAAAATTGAAAAAATTTAGGTCTCATGTACTCAAGTGTTGCCAGATAAAAAGCACCACAAAGCATGTCTTTAATTTATTGAAGAGTAAGGATGTAAAAACAACTTAAAACTGCATTAAAAGTCCAGCACTTACTTTAACAATGTATTCCTTTAGACTTAGAGAGTAAGAATAAAGGGAAAAAAGTTTGGCAGTTCTCTGTGATATATGAGATGACAACAGCTCTTTGGGGAGAATAAGTCAAATAGATGGTCTTGAGCAGTTGTTGTACTTACTCATGAAGCCCAGTTTGTTTTTATAGAAGATAAATGAGGCATATGAGAAAGATGCCCAAAGGAAGGGTTGGGGAGAAAAGGACACCTGGGACAGAGAATGTGTCTGCTTTTCAACTGAATCAAGTTGCAAACAAGAGGTGGGGGTGACTAACATAGGTTCTAACTGTTGTGTACAAGTTGACTGAGGTCTAAGACAGAAACAGGGATTCCAGTACAGCTGTTCTAGGTTTCTACTGAATACAACAAGCTTTTAGGACTTCCATTAACCCTGCATTACTGAAGAATATGGACCCTTGTGGCACTAGGAAGAAAAGATTAGGTAGACTATGCAGCTGACAAGAAATGCAGAGACATTTGAGTTTAGGAATTTAGTCACTTCATAAAATTTTCTTACTCAGAGGTATATTAAGGACAGGCAGTGTGAATTATATTAAGCTCAAAGATGAGTAATAAGCTATTCCAAGAAAAATACTGAAATAACATTATAAATTTTAGCATAGAGTACATTCCCTGTACTGTATGATCCATCATATTTTAAGAGATATTGTAGTAATGATAAAGCCATTACGTCTCTTTTGGGAGCTGCATATTCAGCCAGTAGCTCTATTAATTGGGAAAGCTTTTAAGACCCAGTAGTATTTCCACAAGGGATAACATCTGAATGTGGATAGGCAAAAATTGATTTATAAGAAGTAAACATTAAGCTCACTTGCAACACAGATTAACAATCATGATACAAAGCTCCGGCTACCCAAATTACGATGTTTTAATCATTTCCCTTCCAATGTAGTGAGAAAAATTATCTGATAAGACCAACATTTTCAGTATAAGGGCACTATGTAACTTTGACTTCCAGTTATCATTGCCCAGAGAACTATTCAGCAAGTCACTCCGACTCTACAGGAAAGGATCTCTTCCTATTTTAAAAATGAGGATGCTGTTACATAGACAAGCTGCAGATTAGCTCAAACTCTTGACCTAGACCTAGTGAACAGTCTATATCCAATGGGCTTTACTTAAAAGAGGAGTTGTTTTGTGAATTGGAATTGATAATCCAGTACAGATTGTTCTGAATAGCTCAGTAGGGAATATACTAACTAGCAGAGAAATTAGAATTATGTATAACTTCCTCAATAAATCTTTTATGCAGATAGGGTGTTCAGAATAAATGCATTCACTGATGTGAAAAAGGACTTGAATGCATTCAATGCCATTAATAGGTGTTACACATGCAAGGATGTCATGTATCAGGATGACAGGAGAGTGTCAATTGGATATGAAAGCCTTCTTGTTATGAGGAAATTGTTAGTTTGTCAAGGTAACAAAGCAGCAAAAGAAGCTCTTACAAATGCCTAACAAAATGCTTTCTGAGCATTACTTAATTGGCATCAGTGACTGAGCTGTCAGATGTAAACTCTTAGAAAATGCAGTTACCTTCTTGTGTATACACAGGACTGCCTTAAGTATGTAGATTGGATTGTTGCAAATCCAATGGGGTGACTGTTACACTGAGATATTAACAAAGGGTTACAGAGGGTATTTCAGCCACTCTCCAGATTTCTTCTGTATGTAGAATTTGTGGTTTAACTAAATGTCATCTGTAGCACACCTGGAAATGTTCAGACTGAAACTATTCAAACAAATGAGTTAACTATTTTGATTTAATGCTTAGTTGGCAGAAAACGTAAAATCTCTAGGCAACTTTTAAACTCAGAATAGCCAAGCAGTTTAGCAGCAAAGGAGATAAGGGAAGAACTTTTACCTTTACTCGGGCAGAAGTTGTAATTTCTCTCATCACATTGTAATTTCCAAGCTTCCTGTCATTGATTTAGCTAATTATTTTCCTAAATCCTTGGGTACTTTTTGTTATCCATGGATCTTGGGTGTATGAAAAGAAAATGGTTTGTAATGCAGAGATTTTATCATGAATCAGGAACAAATATTTTAGACAATCAGTATAAAGAAGTCTCTAGTTCCAGATTATTCAGAACATCAGTGTCCCTTAATTGATGATAGATGCTACCAACCTGATAATCTAGATGCTACTAGTTCTACTGGCCTTTATAGGCAGACTGTGTGACAGTGTAACTTCTGACACTCTAAGAAAAGAATAATCTCAGACTCCATCTGAGTGCTCAAGAAACTATTATTTATATTAATTTAGTTTTGACATGGAAATTCTGTACAAGAAACTGAATCTGCCACACAAATGATATCTCACTATGACATAGATAAGGTGTTTGCTGATGTGTTGTTCCTTTAAAAAGTGGTGCCTTTGGACATGGGTAAATGAGTGCCAAATCTTGCTTCCTTACTGACCTCAGGTACTGTCGAAATTTGGGCCTAACACTTCAACAAAGAAACAGATACATGGCCACTCACTCAATTCCCCCAGCGACACACACTGGGATGAGGACAAAGCTCATGGGTGGAGACAAAGGACAAGGAGGCTCTTCACCAATTAAGGTCACAGGCAAAACAGACTCAACTTGGGGAAAAAAACAATACTTTAATTTCACACTAATCACACACACCCAGGACACAGACACACACAGAGCAGGGCTTGCAGATGTTACCCCACCCCTCCCTTCTTCCCGGGCCCAAATCCCCTTGTTCCCGGTTTCTCTCCCTCCTTCCCCCCAGCAGCACAGGGGGACAGGGGATGGGGTTTAGAGTCACTTCACAGGCTGGTGGTTCCTGCTGCTCCTTCCTCCTCAGGAAGAAGGATTCCTTACAGTCCTGCCCTGCTTCCCCACAGGTCCCTCCCATGGCACAGAGGCCTCCACCAACCTCTCCTTCCTGAGCCCTT